GGCCGCCGCCGGAAGGGGCGCGGGCACGGGTTCGTTCCTGCCGCGGCTGCCTTACTGCTCCCGCCGAAACGCCTTTGAAGCTTTAAGGAGATAAACGCCGAGGAACTACCGTGCAATGCAGTTGTCGGGTTCATGTTTTTCCTGTAACGGAGGCAACCTCAAGGCCCGATTTCTTATTTTTCCTTCCATCACTCAAGTTTTCTTGTTGACTTTACATTTAAAACCACACAATCTGTGTGTCAACACAGGACTATTACATCACTTTGCTCTCATCAAGAGCTGTCACAAAGCTGTGGATACCGAAAAATACATTAAATCAGGCCCCTGAGAACTGCCATCTACAACAGTGAATTTCAGTTTAAGGCTTTTGTTCGTAGTTTTAAGCAGGAATATTCTTGGTTTCCCTGTACAGCTGGAAAGAGAAGTTCTGTGGGTCTCTTAACAGCCTGTTCATTCCAAGAGCAGTTCGCTATTGTTTCATAGTTTATATTAAAATAATTCTACAAGATGACAATTGCTTTTTAAATGCAGTGCATGGAACAAAAAGAAAAGTGGTATAAACAGTTTTCATTGTAACTACATAAAATGAGGCAGATTATAATTATAGTACTAATCTTTTAGTACATTAGCCTTAGTAATTTGTGTAAAAGTGACACTTTATTGGTTTAGATCTGCTGTGGTAAATGCTATATACAATTTGGAGATGTAAAAATAACTCCAAGTACAGCCAGATGCTGCAAAACTGCAATGTGAAATTCTGCATTAGACTAATTAAGAAGACTTGCACCCAATACAAATTTTACATCGCTTTAGTTTTTAACTTCCTAATTCAGACTGAAATTTACTCTCCAGCATTTTAGAGGTCCTATGCAATGACTTACCATGCAGAAGTGATTTTTAATACTTAAGTTTATTAAAATATCTTGTTTCATGTTAATTAAAACAGAGCCTGCAGTATTTCAGATTATGCTGCCCAGAAAGGAGTCTTTTCAACATTCCATAATCCATACATTTTGAACATATGAAGCATCACAAAATAAACATATGCACATTTACGTTCAAACAAATTCAATATGAATACAGTTATCTACAGTGCTTCAAAGTATACATGATTGATCTACCATCATGGAGGAGATCAAAAATTTGAGATCATAAGTCACACAGCACTGAAGAAAGCAATCTACCTCTTCAATACTGAAGTTGTTTTAATCTAAAAGGTTGGTTTCCCTGTACAGCTGGAAAGAGAAGTTCTGTGGGTCTCTTAACAGCCTGTTCATTCCAAGAGCAGTTCGCTATTGTTTCATAGTTTATATTAAAATAATTCTACAAGATGACAATTGCTTTTTAAATGCAGTGCATGGAACAAAAAGAAAAGTGGTATAAACAGTTTTCATTGTAACTACATAAAATGAGGCAGATTATAATTATAGTACTAATCTTTTAGTACATTAGCCTTAGTAATTTGTGTAAAAGTGACACTTTATTGGTTTAGATCTGCTGTGGTAAATGCTATATACAATTTGGAGATGTAAAAATAACTCCAAGTACAGCCAGATGCTGCAAAACTGCAATGTGAAATTCTGCATTAGACTAATTAAGAAGACTTGCACCCAATACAAATTTTACATCGCTTTAGTTTAACTTCCTAATTCAGACTGAAATTTACTCTCCAGCATTTTAGAGGTCCTATGCAATGACTTACCATACAGAAGTGATTTTTAATACTTAAGTTTATTAAAATATCTTGTTTCATGTTAATTAAAACAGAGCCTGCAGTATTTCAGATTATGCTGCCCAGAAAGGAGTCTTTTCAACATTCCATAATCCATACATTTTGAACATATGAAGCATCACAAAATAAACATATGCACATTTACGTTCAAACAAATTCAATATGAATACAGTTATCTACAGTGCTTCAAAGTATACATGATTGATCTACCATCATGGAGGAGATCAAAAATTTGAGATCATAAGTCACACAGCACTGAAGAAAGCAATCTACCTCTTCAATACTGAAGTTGTTTTAATCTAAAAGGGAGAAAGAAAAAGTAAGAGGTCAGACTAAATAGTAACATGCAACTTTAAGAACATTTAATTACTTGAGCCGTTTCTTAAACCTTAGTTTAAGAGACAGAGCTGAGTTATGTGAGATAAAAACATTTCTCAGTAATGTAGAGGCATGCAAATGTGAAGACTTCCAAAATAGCCGCTTGTACAAAGAAGTCTAACTATTCTGTGCAAAATGCATAAAAGCATATTTCAGCTATTTAGAAATCAAAGGAGAAGTAATTTGTTTTTTTAATAAGAAAACACCAATACATAACCGAAGCTCAGTTCCAAAGGAATGGAAGGCAGTCCTTTGGAACGCCAGCCTTTCCATGGGTACATGTCCATTCCACTAAACACCTAGACCCCAATCATTCTGCCATTAGGCCAGCTGGATGTGGTATTTCAACAAATACCTTGAGACCACTCCTTCAGCTAATAAGAGATGCTACACAGAAGCCAACGCAGTAACTGTCCCACACGGGATGCACTTAAAGTTGACTATGATCTGAACTAGAGACAGTTACTTTTGTTTGTACTTTACTTCAAGTGTGTGAGCAAAATGAAATTGCAAATAATTCTTTTTCGATTTTCACATTTCTGTTGGCACTATGTTCAAGTCTCTAGTTTATAAGAATGTAACGGCACAGTCTAAATTTAGCAGACATGTACATGACTCAAGCATGGTTCTGCTTGCTTCACTGCTCCTTGTTCAAGCACAGAACTCTCTTAAGTGTCAATGCCACACAATGGATTTATTTGAATCGGATCTTTCGCTAACTATCAACAAACTGAAGCAGACTCAAAACATTCTGAAGCAGACAATGTTGCTTCCAATGTCTCCAAGTAAAGAGAAGTAGACAAAGTAATGGAAATATGAATCACCAGCTGCACTTGTTCGATTTTTAATTCCCATTCAAAATACCTTCCAAAGATATCAATCATCTTTAACTATAACCTCCATTAACTAGCAGGGTTGTGTATTTAGTGCCCTTTACCTCAAGAGGCTTCTATCCTAAAATTAATTACCCTCTAGCTTAAGATACCTAATATTTGTAATCTTTCCTCACTTTATTAAAAAAACCCGAGCAGTATTTTATATTCATAAAGAGACTGGCTGCATATTTGCTGCAAATAGGTTCACTGGAATGACAGCTCATAAATTGAGGTTTTAGTTATCCACTGCAAAATTTACAAGTGTTTAAGTAAACTTTCTGTTTACCTTCTTAGAAGTTCTTTGGGTGACAAGCCTGTGGTATCTGTATCACTAAGGCTGTCACTGCTATCTTCAGTGTCTGAGCTGCTGTCTTTTTCTGATTTTTTATTCTTGTTTTTTCCTTTGTTTTTCTGTTTCTTATGTTTCTTTTTCTGTAAAGAGAAAATAAATAATCCCTTATTTCATTGTGAGAGACTTGGGTTTTTCCGAAAGGCAACAACAGCAAAAAGTTGATTTCAGTGTAGACTCCAAGCTTAACTGAAACAGAACACTTAACAATAACTCTTTTCCACTACACAAGACTAAGCTAAAAAATATGTACCAAAATCACGCATTTCATCCCAAGCACTCAACCCCCCTAAAACAGAAATTTCATTATTATTATAATTCGTATACAAGCCATGAATTATATGCAGTTCTCAGAATATGCCTGGTATCTTCAGCATATGACATTAAACTACCCATAACATTATATCTGTAGTCTCACTGTATATATGGAAAAAGCAGCATCCTAGCTGGATAGTTTTCTGTTCTGAAGTTCAGGTTTCAAGACACCTGAGAAACTCAGTTGCTTAAGTTCTTGTCCCAGTATATCTATTTTCTACAACCTACCATAAATAATAAAAAATTTTGACTGGCAGATCAGAGAATCAATAAACTGTTTATTTAAATTAAATACCTTTTCCTTTTTGTGTTTGTGTTCTCTCTTAGCCTTGTGTTTCTCTCTGTACTTTCTATGTTTTTCTTTCCTACTAGGCCCAGGAAAACTTGCCGACACCACTGGTTCTTGTTGCCAAGTAGGGCCTAAAGTGCAAAGCAAATGTGGAAACAAAAAAGCATGACAAAAAAGATAATTTTATTATTAAATTCTGTATTACTTTTAATCTCATAGGATAGTTTAAAAAAAAAATCTAAGCTTTCAAATGGAAATGAAACATCTAAAAACTCCTAACTGCAACCTTCCTACTGTAATTAAATACCTTTGCAATCTGTTATTAAAAGGAATTGCAAGGCTGGTCCTATAGTTTCACTACAATTTTTTACCATTGCCCCTATAGAGCTACAACAAAGTTGGTACACAGGCAAAGAGGTTCTTGCTAGTGGATCACAGCATGGTAACAAAGCATTTGTCGATGCCAGTTTGACATAACACAGGCATTTAAGAGGTAAAGTACCTATTTGCAAATGTTTTTTAAAGAGAAATAACTTGTATCTTACATACAACTTCAACATGCAGAATTTATAGGCTAGAAGTCTACAGAACCTACCAGAAGAAAAAGCTGGAGGCAACTTTGGTCCAAATTCCTCTGTTGCATCCAGTTCCTGCTTTGAAGTAGGTGACAAAGAAACACCAGGATCAGTTGAAGCAGCCACAATCTCTATGAAAAAAACAAAAACAACTTTATTTGAAAGGAAAATAAGGTAACACTTTTTCCAAAGAGCGCTGAAGAAAGTTAAAGGAAACTTTCTAAAAACCTCTAAGAAGGCAAATTGATCCGCATCCTATACCTCTGTGGACTGCTTTGGCCAACTGGATAGCTAACATGTCAACATACTGCCCTTTTTTTTTTTTTTTTAATCAAAATTTACCTTTTACACTCTACAATTACTAATTAAATTAATATCAGTGCATGTGTTTGCTTTCATTTAGTAACACAGTACTACTTTTCCATTACTTAGAATGAATAAAACACTCCACAAGATGTATAAAGTTAATAAACACTAAAAATTAGATGTTAACAGAACCAACTGTGACAGTAAGTGGACAAAGTATTTCCATTGTAAGCTAAGTATATTGTACATTTTGTTAATTTAATGACATCCTGAAAATATGGGAACTTTTTACAGCTCACTTATTAAATTTTACTAAGAAGTACAGTAAAAGATTGGTCTTCTCCCTCTCTTGTGGAAGTATTCTGGCAACTTTTATAACTAGAATATAAATAAAATGCACCTTTTTAATGTCTTAGTAAAATTATTTCAACATTATATTTTACTGGAACATCAGTATTTAGAGAGTGAATTTAATTACCAAAGAAATGCAAGTAATTTATTTCTGAATTTGTCAAATATCCACCACAAGACAGTCATAATTTATCAATCTATCTTACAATTTATCATAAGTATAAAAGTTTCCCTGTATTTCTCAGTGAAGTATGCCCTAACATGAGATGTTTTGTTCCCCCTCACTGTTTAACAAGCATATTCCATAGACAGTTTGCTTGTAAAATCTACGTAAGACACATGGTGACGTAAATAACATTGTAATATGTAAGGCCTTATTCAGTGCTGTATTATCCACATTTTCTACATGCCCAGCTCCACCAATGCCAGATGATCTGCACAAGAGCATAGCACTGTCCTAGCAGTCCTGGAGTATTTGATTCATAAATGAAGCTTTTACAAGGTATTTATAAAAATGAATATCCATTAAGCACTACCTTGTACGTTAAATGAAGAACTGTCTGGTAGATCAACTTGCTTGGTGGTTTCTGAATCTATTACCGAACTAGTTGGTTGCTGTTCTTCATCACTCTCTTCTTCAGAGGAAGATGATTTCTCATCTGAGGAACTCACAAAGATGGCCTTAAATAAGTCCATAGATGGTCTGCTTTCTTCTTCCTGATCCTTATCTTCAGTAGCTACCTGCCAAACAGCATCATAACAAACTGTATTTAAAAACTAAAGAAACTAACAATCTCCCTCTGATAAGTAATAACTTCACAGATGCGTTTAACAAAACACTCAAATATCACAATAGCTGTGAAATATACAATCTTAGGAACCGCTAGACCAAAATAGTAAAACTCTGAAATGCTGCTAAACTAAGTCAATGTCCTGTAAAGGGCAGCACAATTTGTGCTACTAAGACAGTTGAAAATAGATCCCCAGATATTATAAATTCTAATTCATTAATTCAAACTTCAATTATACACTACTAAATTTAAGTAAAAGGAAAACATCACCTGTCTCCCCAAAGTACGCACCCTCCTCCATCCAAAGCAGAAAAAAAATATATCCTATGCCTGTGAGCAAAGTGGGTGTAAGGGACTGAATTGAACTCCCAGACTGCTGAGCTGCATTTTGACTTCTCTTAAGCTGCTACTTTGAGTATAGTCATACTTGCTATCCTGGTATGCTGTAAATGTTTTACATCTCAGAGTTATAACCTCAAAATCTTTCAAAGTACAATTCTCATGTCTTTGCTTATCCTGAGTTGGTTCTTCTGCAAACTGATCTGTATTAGATCAATTCATATATTACCCAACCTTATTTCAGGGTTGTGAACATTTACAGCTATTCCCCTTTAAGTTCAAACACCGTTGTAAACTCACCTCAGTGGAAAGAGTTTCACTTGGCCCAGTTCCACATTCTTCTGTTGCTGATACTGGTGGCTGCTGCTGAACATCAGCTTTTGATCTAGCAAGACTAATGAATTCACTGATAGAATCTTTTTTCTCCTTCTCTTTATCTGACACATCCCATCTTGAAGGTTTCTTTGCTTCTAAAAACATCCCAAACATTCAAATCAATTGCATGCCAAATTATCCTGCATTTCATGGCCTACCTGATTTTAAGTTACTCTGCTTCTTCAGTATAGTTTGACGTTTTAAAAATCTTTCTAATGAACATCTGACCTATAAAGGTCTTCTAGGTAGAAGAAATTAGCATAATATCATTAT